TATATATTATTATTATTATTATATATATATATATATATATATATATATATATATAATTATAAAACCAATATGTTTATATTCTTTTTTTACGAAAAAAATTATGTTTCAATAAATTAATATAAAAAAATATATTTGCTTGAGCATTTTTCAATTTAAGAATTATCTTAAACTGCTTAAAAGATGATATGGAGTAAACACTGCCAGTAAATTAATTACAGTGGAGTATATAAGCCAGTCTGATATAATTTAAAAATTAGTTTATAATATGATTGGTTTTTAGTTTAAAATTAAAAATGTTGGTTTTTTGTTATAAACAAGACAGTGATTTTTACAAGCATATAAGCTTTGTGTTAATTTCTATATATCATTCCAAAATATGGTATATTTTTCTCATGTTGATGCTTTTTATTTTGCTTACACACTTCCATTAAAAAAAAACAAATGTATTATAATTCAATGAATACTACAAACTAATTTAATATATTCTTTTTAATATGGTGCAAACTCATATTCAATGAAGGGACCATATGTATTCCAATTTTGAATCTACAGTTATTTTACTGTAGTACAGTACATAAAATTCAATAATCCTTCCTTAAATTATTTATTAAGTTCTCTCTTTTTTTTAAAAAAACTTATATTATTCTCCCGAATACAAGACGATATTTATAATATATATATCGCAATATAAATACAACAGAAAAAAGTTCATGTTCCTATAAATTTATATAATAAAAATTTGAAATTGTAGATAATGAATATGGTTCATATTTCATATTATTTATTATAAATCGTTATATTTAATAAAATTATGTAATATGTAAGTTAAGCTAAATGCAATATATATTATGTTAATCAAAACATTATTGCTTAAATTTTTCAACCTCACAGTAGAGCACAGTTTTAGTGGCCTCCTTTGTCAGGTAAAACCGACACGAAATATAAAATTTATTCAAATTACATATTTCCATATTTAAAAAATAGTAGAATTAGTTGTTGTCAAAAAATAATTAAAAATTGTACTGATTATTTATCTTTTCTTTCAGGAAACTAGTACGTCCCATCATACATGGGGTAACCATGGTCTACTTATTAAATCAACGAAATTTTTTATCTGGCCACATTGTATAACTAAATAATATTTCTGTTTTACAATTATTTAAAAATATATAACAAAATTTTGTCTTGTATCCGGGTGAATTGATTACCTTTTTAAATATTTAAAATGATAAATGATTTTATTCATTAATTAAAAATTTAGAAATATATTTAAATATTGCTCAAATAACAAATATCTTTTTGTCTACACTTTTAAAATTCCATATATATATATTTATCTATCTTTTTTGTAAAAATGAATATACAAATGAGTTTGCAGACTTGCCAAAATTTATTAAGAATTAAATTGTAGTATCATATATATGTATACAAAAATGAATGTCAAATTTTATCTATTAGATATAAATGGCCCTGATATATATGTAAATATTATTATTCTGTCACGATAAAATAATCATAGTATTATATTTTATATTTTATGAAAAATACATTAAATTAAAATTATAATATAAGATTAGATTTAGATAACATTAATAATAATAATAATAATATTCATGTTTCAAAGAATTATTTATGTATAGTTCTAATATATTATTTATATATTCTACATGCATATTTACTAGAAAAAGACTGATTTGTAAAAATTTTTCTCCAATTTTTGTTTAAAAGAACATATTTACAAAATGTAAAAATATTACATGTAGTAATTCTTATTAAACATGATAAAAAAATAACAAATAAAAAATAATAGAATTTATTTGCAATTAAATAATAAATAAATAAATTACTAAATACATTATAAATAATTTAAAAATACTTTGCAGAATTGAATAATAAAAATTAAATTTTATTCAAAGAATGAGAGAAAAAAATAATGGTGGAACTTAAAAATACAGATATGAAAAATAAAGGATATTCTATTTGCATTGTATTTTCAGAGTATTAATGATGACGAAGTATAAAATAATATATTTAATGCATTTTTTTTATCTGATCCTTAATTATTTTAATATTATTCTAAATTTTGCAATGTTAAGTGATATATTTTGAAATAGGAAAAACTAAATTTCAACATGAAAAAAAAAATAGAATAAATATTCTATATAATATCTTATAGATGTTTATGAAAGTACTGCATTTTTCAGGTATATTGTAAGACCGAGAATGCAATATCTATATCTTTTACATTAAAGGTTATATTTTTAAAAAAGAATAATAATAATGCATTCACTTGATATCTCGTTTATGGTCATTTTGTATGTGCCAAAAGCAAAGAAATATATAGAGCAATATTATTATATAGAAGAGAAAAGAATAGAAATAAAATAAAAATATTGAAATCATAAAATAGAATAAAAATTGATTATAAGCAACTCTTGAGTATTAATATTTCTTTAAAAGCAGGGTAAGATAGAATAAGAATTAAGAATGCCATCTTTTCAATTTATCTTTAAAAAGATAATTCTTTAAAAAAATGTCTTTGATGGTACTGACGGTCTTTTTATTCTATTTCTATTCTTTTTCTATTTTCTATTTTTTCTTTATATGCGAATTAAAATAAGTAAAATTAAAATAAAATTTCTTTAGATGTTTCAACGTGATTCTGAAGATGGCGCTAATTCCACAATTTTTATTATTTCTCTTATTGTTTGTATTTCTTGTCCATATTTGTATTTCATGTTTATGATAGTCTAAAGATGGCGGTAATTCCTCAATTTTTCCTTTGTTCTCTCATTCTATATTTATAAATCATATACATATAATACGTATACAGAGAATTAGAGGCACTGGCAAACGAGCATTGGTAGAATTTTAATAAAATGGGTAAGGCAAAAGACATAAGTTCAGACGAAGATATAACTGTAGGTACGATTTTCTATTTGTTGAAAAATTAATATTTGATTTATGTATAGAAATGATAAAATTAAATATTTTAATTTTTCCTTTTTATCAATTTCATCGTTGAAGTTAATATTTCTAAATAACTTAGAGAAATAACATCATTTTATATTATATTTTATATCGTAAAGATATATTTTGTAAAAAATTAAGCAGTTTTTATATATTAATATATTTATGTCTATAATTATAATTATTTTTTATTAATTTTTATATCTTTTATTTATTTCTTAGAAACCAATGAAGTATCTCCACAAAAACGACATAAGAAACATAAACATAAAAAACATAAAAAGAAAAAAATTACTCATGATGATAATGATGGTTTTAATGATGTTACTGTTGAAACGGATAAAAAAAAAACATTTAGAGTTAAGATAAAAAAAGATGATGATAAAAGGTAAATAAAAAAATACAATAAATTGTTTTATTTTATATTATCATTATATAAAATATAAATATTTATATTAATATGTATAGTTTAGAAAAACCACGTGAAAAAATGCAGAAAACATCCAATCTTAACACTGTAGGCGCAAGTCCATCTCCAAAAACTGCTACAAAAAAGAAAGTTCTAAAAAAATAATAAAGGTAAAGATAGTGGTACTAGTAGTGAAGAAGAACGATGGCTTGATGCAATTGAATCTGGAAAACTTGAAGAAGTAAATAATTCATATTTATAATATTCAATTTTTTTTGTAATTATATAATTAATTTAATATAATAATAATTTTTTATAAATTTTATTTGCATCATTTAAAATAAATAAATTTATTTTATTTTAGGTTGATGATGAGTTAAAGAAAATTAAACCAAAAGATCCCAAATTAATGACAGCACGTCAAAGAGCCATGTTTGAAAGAAAAACTGATACAGAACCAAATCCAGCCGTTGAACAACTCATGTCATTACCAACTGGTTATAAAGAAAAAGTTATGACAGCTGAAGCCATACAAAAAGCAGCTCTTAAGTCATTGAAAAGAAAACAGCTTGCTGATGAAAAGAGGGAAAAAGATAAGGTAGTATAATCATTAAAATTAGAATTTTTAACTTTTTATTTTTATTTTATAAAATAAAAATGATATGTACAATATTTTAAAATTATATTGTTACTTTTATAGAAAAAAACAATGGAAAGATTATTAAAAAAACAAGAATCTAAAGCTTCTAAAGTCATTAGTAAAGGAAAACCTTCTAGAAGGCAAGTTCCTTTGGTTACATATCGTTTAACACTCGAAGGAAGTTCAATATCTTTACCACCTGGAGAAGATTTTCCATTACAACCTACAAAAGAGTAAATAAAAATAATTAATAATTTAAAAGATTTAAAATATTAATTAAAATATTATAAAATTATTATCATTTTTTTGTATTTTTCTTTTTCAGAAAAGAACCATCAATACAAATTCTTTGTGGTGTTAATCAATGTAAAAATCTAAAAAAATATTCATGCTCAAAAACCGGAATACCTTTATGCAGTTTAGAATGCTATAAAACTAATTTATCTATATCTGCATAATATGTATATATTAATTATTTAAATATTTTTATTCTACTTTCTTAAATCTTATTTATATCTGAAATATTTATTTTTTTATCATAAAAAAACAAATTACTTTTACAATTTCAATAAAACCTTTGTTAACATAACACGAACATTAATGCAATAGAATTTATACTTTTATATAAATACTTATTATCGAATTTCTTAGATATGAAAACAAAAGTAATATAAAATGTAAACTTTTTTTTTTATTTGAAAGAAAAATATTATTTCACATTTAATTTTTAATATTATAATTAATTTGTAAATAATTTTGTATATATTATGTAATTATTATGTAATTATTGTAATATTTGTATATATATTTGAAGATGTATTTGTCATATTCTAACTTGTAATTTAAATAAATGTATTTTGTAAATAAAAAAAAAACAAAAAGATATATGTAATAGCTATTTATTTGGATGTATAAAAATAAGTATTTAGTAGGAATAAAAAATTTGAATCTACATTGAATCTAACTTGTATAACTAGAAATAGCTTAGGCCTTGCTTTCACCATTCAAGATAGATTCAACTAAGTCGCCGTATGATCGTGAAACGTGTAACATCGTCAGTGTTTATTTTGATCGTTGGTTCGTGATTCGCGATGATTTATATAGTTGGATTATTTTATAATTATCGATTTTTATAGTTTAATAAATTTTAATAAAATCCAGTTGATCTGGGTTAAAATGTGTTGGTTCAAGAATTTTATAATCTTTATTATTTTTACTTTATTAGAAATATCAAAATCTCAAATAAAGGGTGAGAAAATAAACTTATTTTCTTCAAGCTATAAAATATTCTTATTGATATAAAATTATAAAAATGTAATACATTTAATCCTAATATCAAAATTTATTTATTACTATTTAGAAAAATATAAACATATCTTCTTAAATATTTTTAACAAAAATTAGTATTTTATTTAATGCAAAAAAAAAAATAAATTATTAATTGAATATTATAACATATAAAATTTATAACTTATTATAAAATTCAAGTATTTTATTATTAATTTTATTACATAGTCAAATTATTACATAAATATTTCTTTTTCAAATAAAATTTATGAATTATAAATTAATTTCATTACTTTTTTTTTTTAATTAGATGGTGATTATCATGAATGTCTACGATCATGTCATGATAATGCACTTTCAAAAAAATTATGCCGTTATGAATTCTACGTTGGAGAATTGCCTAATACGATAAGGTAAGATAAAAATCTATAAATTCATCAATGCATTTAATGAACAAAAAGAATGCACTTTCAAAAGTAATAACAGTAATAAAATAAAATCAAAATAAAAACAACTAACATACTTTCGAAATATAAATTTTATATATGAAATCATATTAAACCAAAAAGATAATATTATACATAAAAAATTATATGTTTTAGATAAAAATAAATCAATGATTATATACTTAAATAGATCTAAAATAAAAAATATTTTTCTTGTTATTTTGGTCAATTCCAATGTGAACGAATGTACAATTTCTAGTATAATCTAAGAACTAACGGTTAATACGCTTGGTTACAGAATGTACTTTGATTTTTTTAATTTCCAACTGGTTCTTACATTACTAGTAGCTATTACGGACCTGTTTACACTATAGGCAGTAAAACTAAATAATGACATTCATAAATTTTGTGTAAAGTCTTTAGCATAAAACTATTATTGAAATTTTATTAAACTTTTTTTAAAAAAGAGTAGGCCAAAATCTTAGAGAAAAAAAGATAGGATATTTAATTGAAGACTTGAATAGACGATAGAAATTTGTATAATTGCGATTTTTAATAGAATTTTATTATAAATATCAGATACAATTTTAATTTTATTTATAATTTTCTAAAATTTATATTAAGAGTAATATATCGTTAATTGATTGATTTTTAAAAATTGATCATTGTTTAAATTCGTAGTCATCAAAATTTAAGCCAAATGCAAATAATTTTAAAATGTTTTTAAAATATATACATTAAGTCAATTTTTAATTCTTATTATTATTTACAGCATTCATAATGGTTCTAAAAGTAAAAATGAATCAATGATTTACAATAAAATAACATCATCGAAAATGTTCTTAGGAATTAATGGAAGAAGTCCAGGACCTCAAATAGAGGTAAAAACTTTAAAATTAATTTCTCTACTACAATTATATCACACTATATTAAATTACAAATTTAATTTTTAGGTATGTATCGGAGATACAATAGAAATTCTTTTATATAACAGATTAGGATCTGAAGAATTATCTTTCCATTGGCATGGATTACGACAAAAAAATTTTGCTCAT